ACCTTTCTACCACTATATTGCAGTTTTAGCCTTTAGTGGGTTATTACAATTTCCCTGTCAATTTTCCGCCACCAAGCAAATATTTTCAATAAAACCCGCATTTGAGTTAAAATTCTTGTCATCTGGTTTGGACGGAGAACTTGGAACTCCAAGTACTCTAATGTTTTTCGTACTCTCGGCCGAAACATGACATTATATTATACTAGCCCAGGATACTCGATCTCACGAGTAATTATATTCGTGTCTAGGATGTTGTAAGGTAAATTCAGTAGCAGAAAATTTCACGAAAATTTCACGATGGACTTATATTAGTATTGGCGATACAGCTCAAGTTTCTGATACACTCGTTGTGACACCCAGGGATTTATAATTCAAAATCCAGATCTTGGCATTCGAAATGTATTGTAGTGCACCACAAATTCTGAGAGAAGTTGAATTTTCTTGGATTTTTAGAGATCCATTTATAATTGATATCTCAAATGAGTTGATAATGGCAGAATATGTTCTTGTTTCTTCAATTTACAGTTGGAATCAATCTCCATTCAGTCTTATCTCGGTCGATGAGATATTTAATCTAATAAACTGAGCAGTTCGAGGCTTCGTGCTGGCCAACAGGCTCAGATCCAGTCTAATTCTCACCTCATAATTTGGGTAATATATGAATTGGGCAAAAGGCTCTAATCAGGATGTATATCCTTACAATGTCGATGATTAAGATGACCATCAAATTCAACATGAACACAAACTTTCAACAAAATTTGACCTCACTGGTCCAGGTTAACGGTGATGATACGTGCGGCCAGGACCGTAAGTTTCATTGATCTCTTACGGCGCACCCGTATAATATTCTAGAAGTGGAAGAAAGCTATCTGATTTAGAATCACAGTACCCAATGATTTCAAGGCGATCACGCTTGCAGTGCGGTTGGGTGATAGAGAGAGAGAGCTGTTGTATTTCAGTCTGAGGTTTTTCAGTATTATAACACAGAAAGCAACAGAGGTAGAGTTTCTATTTGCATCTGGTTTTCCAGGCTTGAAGCATTGTTGAACATTAAAGAGTATTGAGTCCGATTTTTATAAAATACTGTCCAATGAGCAATAATTCTCGGAATCTGCCTTGAGCTAATTTATAAATTCTTGGTGGCTAATTTATAAATTCTTGGCTTTTTTTAGAAGAAAAGACCTTATGAACTTACCAAAGACAACCCTCCTTTATGTTCAAATTTTGGCTAAAATCCAGAAAGGTGTGACCTATATACTACAATGCATTCAATGAATGTGAATTACCCACACAAAGGCCTAGGTTTGATCTGTAGGTCTCCTCAGACATTTGCAGAAGAGCGATTCCGTATGTTTTCTACAAACGGGTACTGTGAAGCTTTACTTTCACAGCTCGCAGCACAGAAAAATGGCTAGAACCATACAACTTCACACATGTGTAGATAATGAGAGACGCAGTCCATCGCCAACAGTTCCGCGAAAGGAACCGATCTTCTGAATAATGACTGCCTGAAAGTTTCGGATCACAAACTGGCCAGCATTGGCAGGGACTGTGGCCAGCAGGTGCAATGCGCCGTTCCGAATCTGGAAGATCAGAACTTCAACGGGGCAAAGACTGGTGACTGTGATAACTGCCTTCGCTTCTGCTGGTGGGGGCTGGGCAGAATCTCGGCTCCATGCTGTGAGGATGACAGCCAAAGCTGCAAACAAGAGGACGGTAGTCTTGGTGACCATGGCTGCGGCTGCAGATGCAAGTGAGAGCACTGATACTATGCTGAATTAGCTTCTGAGTCGAATGCGTGTGAGCGATGGTGAAAGAGAAGTTCGATCCAGTGCATCAAACAATAAGCGCATTCTTGCTTTTTATGTACCAACGATAATGCAGACGGTTGGAATTTTCAGCTGTCGTAGATTTGAGTCTTCCTTCTCTCTTCAGAAACCGAGTCCCAGCCAACGGTGCACGCTTTAGCTCCTCATTCATGCACTCTTAATCACGTAGACGAACCAATGTTTTTTGCATATTCGAGGAATGTGCACTTCTTTCCCTTAACTTCCAAAGTTGACCTCAAACGACAAACAACTAACATTGATGATTTCTTCCTTTGCAAAAAAGCCATGAATCTAACTTCAACATATGAAAGCTGATGAGTATTTTGACTCTGCTCTCCGTATTTTGATCTTGATGGTAAATGAAACTTTGACCATGAGAATGTAATTCAAATAGAACGGTTACTGCTTGACTTTCTTCTTCTTCGGAATCGAAGTCGTAAAAGGTAGAATATAACTGTCCTTATGTCTAAAATGCCCCTACATTTGGAATGACGTGAGAAATTTCTCCCTCATCCGGCTCCCATAGGAGACTAGAGGAATGATCAAAGGCATCTAGGTAGACCAGAGGCGGCTAGTCTCCCAGTTATGCAGTAGTTTTATCGGGTGATACTACCGATTTTGGCGTTAAGCTGCATGAAGCGGGTCATAGTACTGATTCCTCCCCACGCACGGTCTCATCAGTAGATCCTGAATATCCTGTAACGTAATTAGGCCTTTTTGGTTTGGAGTTAGATCCTCTGCGGGTCTATTCACTCTGTGTAGTGTGGGGGACTCCGTGGTCTCCTGACTCTTCTCATTAATTATTCATATTTTCGGGGCTTTACCGTACCCTCTTATAATCCCGGAATATGAGGACTTACGCTTGAGGGCTAGTACTCATCTTTATAAGGAGTGTGAAAGTGGAATGAATGTTGTAACCTCCGATTTAATTTTCGTTTCTCGCACTTAGGACTGAAGTCTTGGGATAATGATGAGACTTTATTACAATCTGGATAAGTTTCACCTTCAATGGTAGATACTCTGTTATTGTTAAGATACAGTAAAGCAGCCGTCATGTGTTTTTCCATGTTCTTTATAAACATCGTCCCCATGCACGTACAAGAAAGCACGATGAGAAGCAATAATATTTAGACTTCAAGAGAACTGTGTAAATGTTGGAGATGTGACTCTCGAGAACAGCTCTAATATCTCCCTTTCTACGTCCACTGGCATTTCTCATTAAGATCAAATGCCACTTTTGGCCTTCATATGACACATTTCCCAGTCTTCATCAAGAGCGACTTTCCACCGTACAATCAAGAAACGTGCTAAAGTAGCTAATTCTTGTAAGTGGACTCGAAAGGGAAGCTATGATTATCCTGTCGACTACGGATCAAAGCATCTTTCGTTGGAAAGTATGTTAATAATTGCAAGAGTTATCTTCATCGAACCTGCAGTTCCAATAATTACATTAGTGTATCAGATGGTTGATCTGTTAAAGACTGCATGGCTTATCCTTTGTTCTGCTTTTTACGGTTTACGTATATATCCAACCCAATGCAAGAAAAGTTCACCATTCGTCGCTGAGATGGATGAGAAATAAAGTTTGAAATTTAAGGCCTGAAATTTCCATTTATATTTGCTCAAAAAGGTATTAGATAAAATATCAGTTCATTCGAACTTCATAGATAATACAAGACCATGATTAAACTCCATCAGCATATCTTTTTATAGCTTTCGTTGTTAGATAGATAAAATACTAGTCCTCCAAAATTCACGAGATTAGCACTCTGTATCTTTCGCTTCGTTTAAATCAACCATCTGTGGAATAGTTGCACGACTATGAGAACTACCTAATCTGCAATTCATTTCAGATGATTCCTCACTGCACTAATACTTGGGACGGGCTTAAGTAATAATTTTCGTGAAATATCCTGGACTTGTTGGAACAGAATGTCATTTTCAGGCCGCGAGTACGCAAAACTGTCGAGTACTTGGATCGATGATCGATGATCGAGATCTTGGGCGATGGTGAAACAAAAGGGGATCCAATGGATTATATAGTGAATGGTCTCTTGTCTCGTGTGCACCAACAATAATGCAGACGGTTGAAAGAGGTTGAGCTTTCGTGGCATCTGGTCTTTCTTCTTTCTTAAGAAAACGAGTTCCAGCCCACAGTGCACAATCTAACTCTTCATTGATGCACGTCGACCACGTATATGAACCATATATCTTCGTTCATGCACGAAATGGCATGAATCTTAGTTTTATAAAACATTTTATGACAACTAATGAGTATTCGTACGCGGCTATTATATCTTGATGGTGAATAGAACTTTGTGCGTGCAAATATTACAAACGAAAACGTCAAAGCTTCAGTTTCGTCTTCTTCGGTATCGACATCCTACAATGTAGATTTGAAATGTGCTATTGTCCCTAGTATCAGAATGTCAGAATACATATCAATATGAAGTGGAAGGAAAGCGGAACCACTTTTTGAGTTCCGATTCGATTTCCTTCTGAGTATCATAATGAAAGATTTGATAAGTTTCACCTGTAACATTAAATATTCTGATACTGTTATCTGAAGATATAGTTAGATCAGCGGTCATGGGTTTGTCCATGTTCTGTACAAGATCTCTATCTTTGTAAGTCCAAGAACGCGCGATCCACAGACTTAGGGGAATTATGTCGACGATGCGGATGTACCACTGGAGAACGACCTCAATATCTCCCTTTTTATGTCCAGTGGCAGTTTGATTGACATCAAATGACATGTTTGGACTCTATATAATACCTTCCCGAGTCTTTGTCGGTTGCAACATGCCAACGTACAACCAGAAAAGGGTTTAAAGAGATTTATAATGTAAGACGCCTGAAAAGGGACGCTATCATGTTAAAGCATCTTTCAATGGAAAATCTGACAGGCATTACAACATTTATCTTTCATGGAACCTGTAGTTCCGAATCTTACATGAGTGAATCAGATGGTTGATCTGTCAACGAGTGCATGGCCTATCTTTAGTTCTGCTACACACCTTTTACGTGTAAATCTAAAACAATGCAAATGAAATTCATCTAATTAAATTCAGCATTCGTAGCGAGGTTGGATGAGAAACGGAGTGTCAAACTTCTATGTATCCGTGTTCACAGCGGTGTTAGATCAAGTATCAGTTGCTTCAAACCACCTAGACAATATACAGGACCAGTATTCAATGTATACAAAAAAATTTAGCTCGATATTGAATTTAATAGAGAAGACATTTGATAACCTCGGTGGCAGGTGTTACATGGCGCATAATGTGGCAGGCGCGAACTGCCGGTCTTGCAGATCATGGGTTCAGACTGGATGAGTGGAAGAAACACTTCTGAAGGGACTATAATGGAGAGACCTCCATTATCTTCCCTCCAGAAGAAACAGAAATCGGCTTCACTATATATTGTGAAGCCGACTTGCTACCTTCTAGATCTTAATCTCACGCAGAATCTCACGTTGCGCTTGCAGCCGACGTGCGGACTCGAGAACCTCTTGGGGATTTCCGGAGTCTGCTCGTCTATGGGCTTCTGGGGCCTGGCCAGAGCCTCGGGAGTTTTGTACTCGTCTCCGTGGCTCCTCATGTGCATCCTCAGGTTCGCGTCTCTCTTGAATCCCTTCCCGCACAACTCGCAGAAGTGAGTGTGCTCGGCCAGAATTTCCTGTCCGTCCAGTTCCACGAGCTGGTAAGAACCATCGACCAGATTCTCGCCCTCCCCGTCATCGAACTCGTACCGAGAAGCTCCCCTAGGATCTAGGAGGGGAGCTTCTCCTCCTAGATCTCACGCCCATTTCCTGATCCTCGGAACCGTGCGACCCCGAGGCCGAGTTCGAAGGAAACATGACGTCAGGAGAGGATCGATTGATTATTGATCGAGGCCTTGGCAGAACCTGCTCCCGATCCAGCAGCCATGCGATCAAGGGATCAAGGCCGAGTTTTATAGCTTTTACATATTTCCCGTTATTGAGAACTATGTTTGTTCAGTATATGAGAGCTAGGAAGAACGAAATTTGACCGATATGTCAGTCGTCAGGTTCATCGGACTTAGATCAAAAATTGAATTTAGCGTCTCAAAAGTATCATTATACTGTTCGGACATGATCCATAAATGAGAAGAACTGAAATGTCAGTTGGACAACTGATATTTCAGTGGTGTAAGACGTTTCTAGTCATCGATCTTCAGCCAAAGCTTATTTCAAAAATCCGTTAAGAACCTTGAAGCAAACGGCACTGGAGCGAAGTCATTTCACGGCGGGCAGGCAGCATCATGGCGCTGAAGGGATCTGCAGTCGCGAGCATCTGTGATCGCATCCATGATCTGTGTACGTTTTGTAACGAGGAGATGAATCTCCTCGGTACAAAACTCAAACAAATCATGCTCCAATGCCAAATAACGAGAACATGGTTGAAGTCCTAAAAAAGATACGCGAGATTCTCCAGAAACCAACAGCACCAATCTTTCCCTTTTGCAAAAAACGAAGCTGCTCTCGTAGGATTTGCGGAGTTGTCGTTGATACGGAGATATACTGAGCACACACTGCACAAATGTGTCGCCTTCCTCTCCAGATTGAGTAATATGTGAATGAGATATCCTGAAAGAGGACTAAAAGGTCACATGCAGAGCTCATTCACTTCCCCCCTCGCAACCCATGTCTCCTCGGCACCGTGCAGCTGTTATTTGTGCTGCAAATGGAGAGTTAGCTTCCAATGCTGGCCTCGGCTGAGTTATCTTGTTATCTCATTCATAGCCATATCAATCTCAATGAATTGCGAGTGACTCGTTGAACTGTGCACGTGAGCGAGCTTCTTTGCAGAATCCACAAACTTGAGACGAAGGTTTATATTTAAGCTTGACCTTTAGGAGTCGAGGCCTGGTTGGATGTCATTAATATAGTCCACTCGAGCATGTACAGTAAGTATCAGCGCATACGAGTGGATCTTCTTGTCATCATGCTACACTATCATCAGTAGGTCCGGTTGACTCCGGTTGGAGAGTTTCAGGCATTCCTGCTTGCTCGAGTTCAGGGTTTAAGCATCGGCGAGACGATGCATGTTGGGTAATTCAAGACGGTGATACGAGCTACCATCATCTTGAACTTCAAGTAGCTGCTTTTAGAACCTTCAATTAGTGTTGGTCCATGATCCATATTCTCGGTGGGTTGAAACTCTTTTCATGTGCCAGATTATCCAATTGTATTGTAGTAACCCACCAAAGGCTAAAACTGCAATATAGCAACAAAAAGGTCGAATCCACATGGACAGAGTCAACACACAGAGTACTAAATGTAATGTTTTAATAAACTATTGAAGAGTTTGAATTCTCAGACGACTGTCACTCCCAGTATACTGCAAATGCTCAACTCTGAGGTCACTCGGAGGACGCACAGTGCAGCGTAGTTCACCCAACACACACCTGAAACTATAAAAGCACAACTCAGAGGTCGGTTAGGACCTCTACTTAAGATTAAGGGGAAAGTTTCTCACGAGTACCCTCAGAGGATTTGCAGGTAGTGTTCCCCAACTCCGAATTGTTAACTCTAACTACTAGTGCAGAGCATCCGGGTTGGACTTCCTACTTCGGATGCGGTACCTTCGTCAAACCGAAGTCACTCTCATGCGGTGAACAACACACTCAACTCACAAAACGCGTAGAGAATACAGAAATCCAAACTGAGGGAATATGTTGAGAAAAGATCCAGTGTCACAACTTAACAGTCTATTAACGAGTTTGAATTCTCAGGCACTAGTCATTCCCACAAATACTGCGGAGGCTACCTGTAATAACCCACCAAAGGCTAAAACTGCAATATGGTGGTAAAAAGATCGAACCCACAGGGACAGAGGCAACACACAGAGTAAAAAGTGTCACGTTTAACAGACTTTTGTAGAGTTTGAATTCTCAGGCAACTGTCACTCCCAGAAATACTGCAGTGCTCGACTCGGAGGCCACTCGGAGGATGCTCGACTCGGAGGATGCTCGGAGGATGCACAATGCAGCGTAGTCACTCAACACACACACACACACACACACCTGAAACTGGCAAAAGCACAACTCGGAGGTCGGTCAGGACCTACGCTTACGATTTCAGGGGGAAAGTATCTCAAAAGTTCACTCAGAGGCTCTGCAGGTAGTGACTCCCACTCCGGCTTTTACAGCCCTTCCGCCAGGAACTAGCGTAGGGAACCCGGACTAGACTTCCCACTTCGGAACGAAGTCCCTCATACGCCGTGGACGTCACCCTCGACTCACACCAAGCGCATAGAGTACAGGCCCGACTGAGAACTCAACTGAGACACAATCCAGTAACACACACACACAACCTGAATTGCAAACCAAGGCTTACACGAAGTAATAAAACTTCACTTTGGCATTTAGGGGAAACTTCCCGTAGGAGTACAATCAGGATATGTCACTCGAAGGAGTAAGGGGGAACTGTTCAAGTCTCTAACTCGCAACCGGCTCTGAGCATCAGAAATCAACCGCAGGTGCAGATCCGCACTACTCAAGTCTCTAACCGGGTACTAGCTCTAAACATTCAGCCGAAGGCCTTCAACTACAACATACGGTAACTTCGCTATGCTGTAGCTCCTCTACGTGGTGCCAGGACCAAGTGCACAAACACGTCAAGAAAGTGAGTTCCTGATCTGCACTTCCGAAACTGGAAGAGTCCCAAGGCAAAACGCCTTGAACTACTTTATACCCTCTAAGGTCCTAACTAACACTACGCTATCCTATCTGCTACTCGCAACACCTGCACGAAACCAAACTACGCTACTGCACTCTGCAGATCCAGTGCTGCGCCTCCTGCGCGCCGGACTGCCTCGCTCTCTTTCTCTACCTTGCCAATCTTCCGACCTGCGCAACCCCAGTCGCCGAAGGGCTGCAGTCACTTCCGACTCTAAGTGCGCCATAGTGTCACGCGCACCCGACAAGAAGGCTTCTAATTTCCTTGCTACTCGCCGCCGACTCCGACTGTCACCCTCCGTCAATGCCGCCGCCCGCAGCTCGAACTCCCTGAGTGTGATCTTCTCTTGAGCTGCCACCTCCCAATGGGCGTATCCTTTTAGACAGTGAGTCACCCGCGTCGCCAACTCTTCTCGCGTCCGGCAGCTGCCTTCCACCTCTGCTAGCTGCATTTCCGCATCTGCGCGCTGCGCCCTCAAATCCGCGCACTCGGATTGCAAGTTGCGCAACAACTCCTCATCCTCCTTGCGTGTACTTTGACTTTCTTCTAATGCGCGCTTCTGGCGCGCAAGCTCCTCTGTTAAGATGCGGTTTTGTCTCCGCTCTTCCTGCAATTCCGACTCGATCTTTGCCCGCATTAGCTCGGCATCCGCCTGGTCTTTCGTCGCCGCATCCTCCCTCTGTTGTTGCAGGGTTTGGTATAGCCTCTGCGTGATCGCCAGGTGCTGTCGGAGGGCAGTGTTCCAATCCTGCAATGTTTGGCACCTAGAGGCCCAAGTGGCCACCTTGCTCCTCGTCCTGCGCTTGAAAGTCTCCACGTAAGACTGCGGTTTTCCGGAACCCGAGTACTTGGATGTCTTGCGATCCAGATATCGCAGGAGTGGAACTATCTGCTCGCACAACACCCCTGTTGGCGTCTTCTGCACAGAGTCCGCTTCCTGCTCTTCCGAACTCGTCTCATCCTCCGTTTCGAGGATTTCAGTCGCCACCGAATCCCTTGGCGACTCCCTGGAACTGTGGCGCGCGGCAGCTTCCGCCGCGACTGCCGCTCCACTCCCTGCTAAAATATCCAAGGCAGTGGGGGATCCCACTGCTTGAGCCCCTGTTCCGGCTCGATCTTCGGTTTCCGAAGGGGTCGACGCCGCAGTGACTTTTGTCACCTCTGCACCTCCCACTTCTGCTGCCTGCTCTTCTGGCGCGATCTGCGCAGAAGGTGTCTTCGCCGGAGGTGCGTCCGCCGAAGGCGCCCGCACAATGGTCGCCGGCCCTGTCCGTCTCGCAGTCGGCGAATCTAGCCGACTCTCTGTTGACCGACTCGCAGTCGGCCGACTAGCAGTTGTCCGACTGGCAGTCGGATCTACCCTGCGCGTCTTCACTCCACTTGGCCTGCTTGCTGGCGGCGTTTTCCCAGAAGCGCCTTCCGCCGAAGACGACCCTCTAAGGGTTGTTGGCTCGTCAGCCAAACTCCCTTCTGCTTCCGGCCTGCTATCCGGTTCAACGCGCTGCTCAGTCGGCCTTCCTTCCGTTTGCCGACCTTCAGTCGCCCGACTCGCAGTCGGCCGACTGTCAGTCCGCCTGTCTTCTTCTGAAGGCATCGGTGCCTTCTGCGCAGAGGTGTTCGCCGACTTCCCCAGAATCTGCGCGATTATCTCCTCCTGCGTGGGCAGGATACTCCGCCGGACCGGAGTACGCCCGGTCTCCTCAGTGCTAGTTGGCACTTTGCGTGCCCTCTGTTTCGGCCAGCTATGAGGCTCGTTGGTTGGCCGACTCCGAGTCGGCGCAGCGGGAGCTTCCGGCTGCCTGTCCTCAGGTCTCTCATCCCATTTCCGCTTTCGCGGAGCGCGCTCACTTCGACGCTCTTCTGCTGCTCTTGCTGGAGGCGGAGCCGGAGTTGGACTGGCATGTGCCTCGTCCGGATCCGTGTCTACTTCGGCCTCCCGTAAGTATCTACCTGGATAACTCCGGGTCAGCAGCGGAAACCGTGTCCGCTCTGAATTTGTCAAACGTCCCATCGCTCGATAAAACACAATCAGGTAAGGCGAAAGATGATTGAGGGTCCCTCCTCTCTCTTCTTGCGCATGTTGGCGCGTCACCTTCCATAGGAGCCGTGCCCAATGAACTGGAGCTCCTGACAACACTAGCTCCACAAATCCTACTTGCCAACCATGCATGTAAGCGGTCTTGGTCGGCTGCAATATCTGCAGCAATGCAGTCGCGACATTTCTCTGCAATCGATCTTTGTAATCCCGCGTCCGGAAACCGTTCTTGGGATGCCTGGCAACTTTGAAAAGATC